CCTCCCCCTCCCCTCCCTTTTGTTTGCATGAAAACCTGGACCATCGTGCACTAACCAGGAGTGTGTGCCTCACGCAGACGGACTGTTTGCCCAGTCCCCCCTCCCTCCCTCCCCCTCCAGACTTTTCGACTCCACCTTGACCTCGGGCTTAGGTGGGTGAGGGAGGGAGGAAAGAGTGTTGCAAACGCTGCGATAGTTGACTATTCCTATAAGCTAATTGTCGCGAAAGTCATTGTCCCTGCGTCCGCAAAGCTGCGGGGCTTATGATGGACCTCGTCGTTTGCGACGGTATGGTAGAAAAATACACTGCATCTCTTCTCCCAGATACAGTTAAAAGGTTAAATCGGAGCCAACGGAGATGCACTGTGCAACATTGGGGCATGCATCGTTTGTAACACTCATATACATTCGGTGGGTTGCACTACCCTTGCTCGGTATGAGGTCAACACCAAAACTTACAATTTTTTTACATACCATAGGTTCTCGTGCCTGCAAAACGGATGCCGACTTATCGTTAATGAACGCTTAATGACCGGATAAAAGAGCGACATCAATATCTGTGCGTCATGACTGGCGGCAGCCTACCTTTACATGGAGTTTACTACAGTTTTACCATCAGTCCGCAACTTATTGTTCATTTTTTGTTTAAATAATCTACGCAGATATGCTGCAACAAGATTCTTTTTAGGACATTTCATTGTGAATTTGCTGTTCATACACAAAATCTCGTTTGTCTCGGGAATGTTTAACGGTTGATTGAACGCTGACTTTCTAAACCACTATTTTTTGTTCTACAGATGTTCGTAAGAGACTTCATTATGTTCCTTATCACGCTAGACCCTTTGGATAATTTGGAATTCCGCTAGATCATGTTAGGATGATGTGGATGGCAGATGTCCTACTTAATTAGTACTCAACGCCCACTTCTTAATAAATACCGGTATTCTCACATTTATTTCACAGGAAGGCCGGTGCTCTACCTCCCTTAGTTCGCCTCCTTTATTCGGATCAGGAAAAAGTCCTCATGGGAACAACCGGAGCTTTACGAAATCTAACTTTCGGCGGGGATCTTAAAATCAGCGTAATATGCTTTACTTTTATTATTTAACTTTTTACTATTATACATTTTGGAAACTGTTCTAAATCAACAGAAATCAGACGATTATAATGCTTTAAAGTGAGCATAAATACAATTCGAAACAAAATGCTAAACTTGCTCGCAACATGGGGCTCTCTGAAATCCGTAAGAACGCAGGATACAGGTCGAACTAGAGTTTTAATTTAATGCTAAATGCAACCTTCATGCCTTCGCTTCGATGTGCATGCCGTCTTTTTATTACTAGAGTTAAAATGTGCTTTCTTTCTCACGAGGTTCTGATTCACCCATACGACACATAAAGTAGAAAACGTTAAAAATACCAACTGCCCGTTTTTATAGGAGTTGCACTTTAGTATCCACTGCAGTTCGCATCTGGATCATATTTGGTATCCAGGGTGCATAAAAGGAACAATAAATCCA